ACATCTTGGCCCACGTCCGTGATAATGCGGTCCACGCCCTTGGGGACCTTCATGTTCGACCACTTCCCGTTGATCTTCTCCTTTAGCTCCTCCACTGTGCCGCTCTCCAGCTTGTATATGTGGTCGCACTTCCCGACGATGTACGCTCGCTGGGCAGCCGTGAGCGTAGTTTCTGAGGTAACCACTGACGGCGGCACTGGCGGGAGAGGATGCTGCGGGGCTGGCGCTGCCGCAGCTGCTGGCACGATAGCGCCAGTCCCAGCGGCAATTGGGGCACTGGCCTGGGCCGCGTTGGCGGCGATGGCGGAGGACAGCAGCGGGGCGGTCGCGTCTGCGATGATCTTGCCCTGCCGCTCGTACTCCTTGGTGCGGGCAGCTTCTTCCTCGGACCCCACGATCTTATAGCGCTTGCGATGTTTCAAGAGAAACCGCTTCGCAACTTTGATCTAGTCGTCTGTATCTGGACTGTTCCAGCTGCTCGACCGATGCTTCTTCTAGAACTGACTCGCTCACGATCAAGATCGCGGTCGACCTGCCTGGGCTGCCATGTCGGCGGCCAGTCACCTTGTCCGCGACGTTGCTGCTGACCGCGGCCGCCATGATATTGTCCATCTCTAGCTGCTTTTGGCTGTGCTGCAGAGGCGCCCCGGTCCTTCGAGCCTGAACAATAGCAGGATACGGAGGAAGAGGATGGACTCGCGAGCAAACGTGTGAGATGGGATATAGCAGCTGGAACAATTCCAAGATGAACTCCACAATCAAGACAAGCTGTAGTCCACGAGCCAACTCAAATGAGAAACACCTCGAGAGTTGACCCAACAACTAGCCTCGAAGTCTCGCAAAAGGCGTGGGCGACTGATCAAACCAAGGGATCAGGTTCCTCTTCTGCCTAGGTCCGCGGTCGAAAGTCCAATCACGATTTGGGTTCTTGATTATCCGGCCGACTTTTTGTTCGAGCACATGCAACTTTAGGTCGAGCCACTCACATATACAGGGTTTGTCAGAACCACTGCAACTGCTCTCGAAAACGAGCGACATGGGCTCAGAAGGCACCGAGGCGAACAGGAACTTGACACAACCAGCACAGTAAATATTCGAAACACCAACGATGTCATTGACGTATCGAAGCCATAAGACTGCCCGAAGAAACTGCCCCTGGGATAGACCAGCAGGACATCCTGGGACCGCGACAGCACCTTCTAAGAACATTGCCTCTTCATCGCTAGGAGTGACGGACATCGCGGCAGCGGGTATCACTCCACCATTTGATAATCCAGCATGATCAGATACCAGGGAGCCGAACGTAACTGTAGAACCTTGACAGCTTGCAAGGCTAGAGCGATGAGTCCCATAGATAAGCATAACCAACTATGTGACCAGGCGCCCTCAGACTGCAGGCGATCTCGAATTTTCCGACCACGCTGGATGTAACTCAAATGTCCGGGGACTGGGCCACCTCCGAATACCTCCTGGGGAAGCGGGCCCATGCAGGTCCAGCCTGCGTGGCAGGCCTCGGAGGCCTGGCCGGTATCCGCGCTGACCACCGTCGGGGGCTCCATGGTGAACCCGCACGTGGAACGGTATCCCGAAACGTTCGGCTCCGGAGGAGGAGGAGGAGGGCGAGGAGGAGGGGGAGGAGGAGGAGGAGGAGGAGGAGGAGGAGGAGGAGGAAGAGGAGGAGGAGGAAGAGGAGGAGGAGGAGGAGGAGGAGGAGGCTCCCCCGCCCATCCTTCAACAACAGAGGCACTTCACGCGTGCGTGTGGACACACATCGGCAACTGCGCGCACGCTTCGGCCGGTCCTCCTCCGAGCTGCGGGGGAAGGCGTCCGCGGCAGGTTCGAGTGCTTCCGAGGACATGGATGATTTAGTGTCTGGCGCTTCCTCTCGCCCTCGTCGGTGTGGCGCTTCGACTTGTCGAACGCAGGAAGGGCAGGCGGCGCGAGGGGCCCAGCTCCTCCTCGCGGGTTGCCGCGAAGCCAGGCAGGCAGGGCGGCGCTTGCTCGGCCAGAGGCGAGGGGCAGCGCCTGCGACTCCGGGAATTCTGATCCGATGCGCCGCTTCGGGTCTGTGGCCACTGCGCGCGCCATGTTTGACGAATCTATGGAACATTCACCTGGCCAGATCTTTGAAGCATGACGACCATCAGGCAAGCATGTCGTATTGGCTGATCCACTACTCAGTATCCCCCAGAAGCTCTGCTCCTGGAGTTGCCATGCTGCAGGACATTCTGGAATTGAGAGGGTCGTAGGTTCGCCGAAGAGGTGTGGTTGTAGTGCACTGCGGATGCCGGGATGGAGCCCATGCTGTTGAACCCGCTCCAACCATCCAGCACGAGTTTGCAGCGCGAATCGATTTTTGAGTCAGCCGGGCTTTCAAGCGACAAGTGCCAGCCTGCGCTTGCAATGGTTCAATTTTCTGCACGCTCTCGGAGAACATGAGACGGCGGATCTCCAAAGCAACCAAGACGACGTTGCGGCTCCAGCTCACTGGGCCCAGGCGTGGAGCGGACGTGGACTATTGACAAATGCCGCTGTAGCCGCGTGCGAGCCAAGTATGCGCGTGCTCGCTGCAGTGCATCCCAGGCAAGACGCTGTGGCATGGGGGCGCGTGCTCTGAACTGTCCAGGGGGAACCAAGGGCCGCGCTATCGTAGGTCGGGGCCGGCGCCGACGTAGAACGCGTTTGGGGAAACGGCGAGCTGCTGCCTTGGGCGCGGCCCAAGGCGCTGCCGACTGGATGTTGCTAGCGACGCGGTGCAGGATGGTGCTGGCGTCGTCCCGTGAAAAGGACAGAGAAAAATCAAGTGATGGCCGTGGGCTTGCACAGTGCGAGCACAAGAGATTGAGGTGATCGGGGTGAAATATCCACATCGGACCGACGAAGCCAAACACCGCGACTTATGTCGTCTGTAGCCACCGAGGAAGAACGGCATGGGGCAATTGCCTGGACGCGATCTGTGATGGAACTTTCGGAACGAGGCTGTTTTATGCATTCTGCTGGGAGACTTGCGATGCCAGCAATGAATGGAGCTGCTGTGCGCGATGACGCAGTGAAGGGTGGTCGCGGTGCTTAGTTCGCACAGGACGTATATGTTGGCCAGCTCGCTATGCGGCTCGCCGTCGATCTTCATCTTCGTGGCTACAAACTGGATTCACGGATTTGATGACGGTCGCCTCCAAGGCGTATGCCCTTGCCTCAGACTCCACAGCGGCAGTGGGAACCAGGAAGAATGAGCCAATCTTTTCCCTGGGGGCGCAATGCCCGGCAATGCGACCGTCGCGAGACTGCAGTTATCGCAGGCGAATCAAGTGTTCAATTTAAGAGATGCTAAGCCGTGTCGGACACCAGAGGAACGTGCGAGGTTGGTTGTGCCGATGTAGCAGCCCGCGTGGGAGCCGATGAGATGCGCGGCAACCTCGGAGCTGTGTCGGCAAAGAGCGTCCATTGCGCGATCCGCGACCATGCCGTTGACGCGCGCGCGACTCTGTCATTCTGGTACTCCGACGGAAACGCGCACCGTTGCCGCCGAAACCGCCATGGGCGATGGGCAGCATGGCGAGCCCGTCGGGGCCGACGAAACCCAGACGAAGCCAAGAGTAGACATGCAGTGATTGCTTTGGCCTCTGTACGCGCCCTTCCTCGATTGAGTGGCGGGATCAATGCGTCGACAGGCGCTGCCAAAGCCGCTGCGAGGCTCGCAATATCATCTGCGTGAGTTCACGAATCACATCATGAGACTATCTCGTGCAGGCTCGGTACCAATGGGTGTCTCAAGACCAAGCTCAGCCGTTGAGGCTCGGGACCATTCAGAACACAATGATCGGGTGGTGGGAATTGGTGCCGCATGGACGCTGCCTGGCGTACTGCATGTACACTGCCACGGTACTGAAAGACTGGAAGACTGGAGCTCTCCACGGGCCGTTGCCGTAGGCCTTGTCGTGATTTCTTGTCGCTTTTTCCATCGCGCACTGTGTTAAGTTTGCACTACTTGGCATGGCTCGCGCGAGACCGAACCTTGCGCGGTTCAGCGTCGCTTCCCGCGCAGGCCTTTGGGGCCAAATGAATCAATTGTTTTCAGGTTCCGAGTCTTATTCCACAAAATGCAGCCCATACTCGAGCGTAAAAACATATTGAAACTATCGACGATATTTTGTTGCCCCGTGTATTTTAGATTTTTTATACTCTGGGACAACGCAGTATATGATGATGATGGTGATGATGCTGGCGATGATGAGGAGCATGCTGATGATTATGCTGGTGATGATCATGCTGATGGTAATGGTAATTCTTGTTCGGATGGTTCAGATCATATGGATGATGCTGAGCCTGATTGATGATTATTATTCTGAGGATGGTGATGTTTATGGTTGTGTTGATGATGATGAACAGAATTCTGGTGGTGATGCTGATGATGATGATGGGGATGATGAGGATAATGCTACTGCAGAAAATATGGTGAATCTGATGATAACTATGATGTGTCAGAAGGGAAATGAAGAGGAGGAGAAGGAGGATCATGATCAAGAACACGCTCCCGTTCCGAAAGTTTAAGGTTTTGCTCGTTGTTATGATTCGAGGAGCCTAGGCCTTCTTGTGGCCCAGTGAGGGCCCCCAGAGGCCGAGAACAGCCAAACTTAGCTGCCCCGATGCGCATGCTTCGACACGCTGGGTGTTGGCTGACACGCTGCGTGTTGACACCTTGGCGAACGTATCGCGCCAAGCCTACGATTTCAATCTACGTGTTGCGGGTTGCGTGTTGCGTGTTGCCTATCGGGTCAGCTAAGCAGCCAGTGACCTCCCGCTATTTCTGTGCTTTTGCATATACGTACACTCGTGTATATACATAGCATATGCATACGGCGCAGGGCGATATGGGTTTCGCATCCCCTCGAAGGTGCTCTCCGGCATCATGCGCCCGCCGGTCCCAGAGCCCAGGCTCCGCAGAGGGCATCTGTACACCACCGCGCCTGGCCAGGGCCATCCTGGGCCGGGGAGCGGTGCGTACCTGGGCCTCCCAGTCGAGGCCACGAGGGCCTGTACACCATTCCAGGGCGCAGGATCAGCGCGGCTTCCGAAAGCTGTAGATATCCACCTGCCCCCTGGCCAGGCGCACCCTGAACCCAGCAGCGGTGCAGACGCCACGCCCTCCTGCCTTGGCCAGGAGAGCGTATGCACCGCTCCTGGGTGCAAGATGGGCCTGGCCAGGGAGCAGTGGATGTGTGTGGATTTCTTCGCCCGATCGGGCGGGCGATATGTAACCGTAGCCGCTGCTCCCTCGCCAGGCTTATCCTGAGCCCAGGAGCCGTGTGTACGCCCTCCTGGCCGAGAGGCAGCAGGGCGTGGCGTGCACACCGCTGCGGGGGTCAGGCTGGGCCTGGCCAGGGGGAGCAGTGGGCATGTGCAGCTGTCGCCGTCCTGGTATGGTGGTGGAGGGTTTCCCCGAAGGACTTAGGCGACCCGTCCTCCTCCTCCTCCTCCTCCTCCTCCTCCTCCTCCTCCTCCTCCTCCTCCTCCTCCTCCGCCGCCTCCTCCTCCTCCTCCTCCTCCTCCTCCTCCTCCTCCTCGGGTCGCCTACGGCCCCGGGGGAAACCGTGCCTATGGTGGTGCCCTGGGGTCCGATGTCGCAGGCAGGAGTGCTGCAGCACCGCGAGGAGCCACGGCCGGAGCCCGAGGCCCGATCGTCCCGCGGCCTCTCTCGAGCTGCGTCGGGCCGTGCCGGACCCCCGAGGTCCGAGGCCCGCGCGAGAGAGCGCCCCTGCCGAGGCACGGCACGGCCGCAGCGCCTGGATCTCGGGGAGGCGGCGGCGGTGGTGCCTGCGCCCTCCTGGCGTGCGCCCAGCCTGGCCAGGCATCGCGGCTCGAGCACTTGGCATCGCTCGGACGTGTGCATTTTTTCTCGGCGAGGGCCATCGAGGAGCATCCTTGATCACTTGGCGAAAAAACCACGCACGAGACCAACAAAAAAAACAGGGAATGGACGTCCGAGCGATGGCCAGAGCAACAAACAGTGACACAAACAGAACTGTTCGGAGGTCCGCGCGGATGTCGTGCGGAGCGCGCCGGGGGCGGCGCCGGAGGGGCCGCCAGGAAGCTCCAGCGCCGGGTCAAGACATCCGCGCGGACCGTCGAAAGTTGATGTTCGTGCTGCTCTTTGCTTCTCGAGAACGACCTCTTGGCATGGCCCTGGCCAGCCATCGTGCTCGGTAGCAGATCATGGGAGCCTGTGTGTCCTCGTAGTTCCGTCTTTAGAGTGCACGATCGTGCGTTAGCATCTGGTAATCATCGATGAGGAAGCGCCGATCCAGCATCGATTAGCGTCGACTTCGCGTCGATTAGTGCCGCGTCGATTGGCGTCCTGGTAGTTGATGGGACAGCGCCGATCTAGCGTCGTTTAGCGTCGCTCTCGCGTCGATTACGCCGACTGGCGTCGGTTAGCGTCGATTGGCGTCCTGGTCGCCGATGGGAAAGCGCCGATCTGGCGTCGATCAGCGTCGATCTCGCGTCGATTCGCGCCGATTGGCGTCGGTTAGCGTCGATTGGCATCGGCCAGCATCGATTCGCACGGGCCAGCAAGGTGTCACGGGAGGCTCGCATGAGCTGCCACCAAAATGCGTGGTGGTGCGTCTGTACATATCCACCGCCCCAGGCCTTGCCCTCCTCCATTAGAATGCTAATGGCAATGCAGTAAGAATACGAATGAACGAATAATTATTCATAATAATATTCAAGGACCTCAATGCAATTGCATCATAGACTCATGCATAACTAATTGACCATTCCCTTTGCCCTCCTCTCTTACCTCTCTACTCCTCCCTTTCACCCCCTCCACCCCCTCCTCCCCTCCTCACACCTCCTCCCCGTTCCTCCCCTCGACCTCCACGACCTCCCCTCCTCACTCTCCTTCCTTCCTGTCATCCTCCTCCGGCCTCCTCCTCCTCCTACCCCATAATCCTTCTCCTCATCCTCCTAACTCATCGTCCTGCCCCTCCTCTTCCCTTCCCTTTTTTTTTTCAGTCCGCCATCTCGAGCAGACACGAGCACGTGAGCACACGCCCTCAATGCGCACTGGCAGGTGAGGCGCTGCATACACTGCCCGTGGGCCCAGGGCGGGCCAGGCCCCAGGCAGTGGATGTGCACAGATCTCGTTGCCCCAAGATGCCCTCTGCGCGCCAGGCCCCCCGCGACGGCGCCCCTGGTGGACTTCAGGGGGCAACGGTCAGGGGGGGCGGGGGAAGAGGCTCAGGGGGGGATACGTCGACCCCCCGTCGCCCGCTCGTCACCGATGGGGTGGTCCGACCGCCCCACCCCGCCCTGGGCCGTGCGGCGGATCCGCTCTTGGGGGCCGATCGCCGACGGGTCGACGTTTCCCACCCTGGAGCTCTGAGTAGGAGACTTTTTGAGGCACCGGAATGAATTTTCCGACCTCCCAGTCTGCCAGTCGGCCAGTCGGCCAGTCGGGGAGTCGGCCAGTCGGCCAGTCGGCCAGTCAGAGTCGGCCAGAGACGGGAGGGGAGTTGGAGGGTGAAAATCCCGGTGCCCCGAAAATGTTCCAACTGCTCCTCCTCCTCCTCCTCCTCCTCCTCCTCCTCCTGCTCCTGCTCCTCCTCCTCCTGCTCCTCCTGCTCCTCCTCCTCCTCCTCCTGCTCCTCCTCCTCCTCCTCCTGCCGCCGCCTTTCTCAGGACTGCCGCCATCCCGCCGCCGCCCTTCTCAGGACTGGGGCGCCTGGCCCCCGCTGCGGCTCCTGCGGGCGCTGCTGCCCAGCGCGCGGGGCCTGCGGGAGCAGCGCGGGTGGCTGCGCGCGGCGGGGCTCGGGGCGCCCGTCGACGTGGGCGTGGGCTACCGCTTCAAGGCCGCCGCCACCGCCGCCGCCGCCGCCTTCGCCGTCGTCGTCGTCGTCGTCGTCGTCGTCGTCGTCGTCGTCGTCGTCGTCGTCGTCGTCGTCGTCATCGTCGTCGTCGTCGTCGTCGTCGTCGTCGTCGTCGTCGTCGCCTTCGCCGTCGTCGTCGTCGTCGTCGTCGTCGTCGTGGTCGTCGTTTAGGCACGCGCGCAACGGGGTTCATCGCGGGCGCCGACGTGGGGAGCGTGTACGCCCCTGCACGACAGCCTCAAAACGATTGCCTTTCGTATATGTCCTTCAAGGTCGCCGTCCCCTAAGATCCTGGCGTTGCACATTTTTCGTAGCGGGCTTTTTTGTTTGGCTTCGGGTCTTGGGCCCCTCACAGCTCGATCCAGCTCGAAAGATGACGCAGAAAGATGTGGTCCAGTGCGCTGGTCGTGATTTTTCGCCATGTTGCGATTTTCTGGGGACGTCAACCTATCGCTTCATCTATCGCTTAACCTATCCCAATCCCCAAGAGGCCACGATATTTCAGCCCAGCCATCTCAGCCTGATGGCATTGCACACCGATGCCGATGGTCACTTCCAGACCTCCTCGGACCGTGGAACAATCAGTTTTTTTTTTTTTTTTTTTTTTCTTGTGCAATTTGCGGCTTCTGCGGGGGAACAAAAAAAAGACTCGGAACTACCACGTCGAGGTCAAGGGGAACAGACACATTCGTTGCGTTTTTTTGGCTGTTGTGGGTGTTTCTGGAGGTCCTCGTCGCCAAGGCTGGATGCGGCCCGAACAAAGAGGCCAGGATGGAACCTGTGAAAGGTCCAGGGGCTGATTTTGAGAGGTTTTGGAGGTGCGTGTAAGCATATTGATGCCGATTCCCTTCGGTCTAGTGCAGACGACGAGCAGATATCCCGAAGTGTTCAATGAACGCGGGGGGGGGGGTGATCGTGTTGATGGGCGGGAACGGCCTGTCCTTCGCAAGGCGTGGGGTTGGATCGCGTCAGGGTATGGGTTCGTTGCGCCAACAACTCGGGGTACCGATGCCGATGGTCCCCCATCCCCCTCCCCCGTTATCGCCTCTTTGAGCCTTGCTTGGGTGGCCTTCGCCTCCATGGCTGGAGCCTGTACCCCTTCCCGCCGGGTACCAGCTTTTTATCTTGAGTCGTTTTTTCGCGGTCCCGAGGGCCGGGAAGGGCCTCCGGAGGCCGGAAACAGCGAAAAAACCTCCCGTCGAGTTTTTACCTAACAGCGAAGACTGATAGGTTTCTAGTGGTTTCAAAAGAGAGCATCATGACTCCCCAGGGGGGTCTGGGCAGATGCCGGACGGGTGCCGCGGGAAGCCGGGGAGATCCGGGGACTCCCCAGAACACCATTCCCAGGCCACATTTTGAACCAGAACACGATTCCCAGGCCACATTTTGAATGCCCAGAGCCAACTGTAGGCCACTTCGTGTTCTTCGTCTTCCCAGAACACCATTCCCAGGCCACATTTTGAATGCCCGGAGCCAGCTGTAGGCAACTTCGTGTTCTTCGTCTTCCCAGAACACCATTCCCAGGCCACATTTTGAATGCCCGGAGCCAGCTGTAGGCCACCTCGTGTTCTTCGTGTTCCCAGAACACCATTCTTGTACCATATTTTGATTGCCCGGAGCTAACTGTGGGCCACTTCGTGATCTTCGTGTTCCCAGAACACCAGTCCTGTGCCATATTTTGAATGCCCGAGCTGAGGCAGGCTGAGGCCGAGGCAGGCTGAGGCCGAGGCAGGCTGAGGCTGAGGCTGAGGCAGCTGAGGCTGAGGCAGGCTGAGGCTGAGGCTGAGGCTGATGCAGGCTGAGGCTGAGGCAGGCTGAGGCCGAGGCTGAAGGCTGAGGCTGAGGCTGAGCAGGCTGAGGCTGAGGCTGAGGCTGAGGCAGGCTGAGGCTGAGACTGAGGGCAGGCTGAGGCTGAGGCTGAGGCTGAGGCTGAGGCTGAGGCTGAGGCTGATGCAGGCTGAGGCTGAGGCCGAGGCAAGTGAGGCTGAGGCTGAGGCTGAAGCTGAGGCAGGCTGAGGCTGAGGCTGAAGGCTGCGGCTGAGGCAGGCTGAGGCTGAGGCTGATTCAGGCTGAGGCTGAGGCAGGCTGAGGCTGAGGCTGAGGCTGAGGCTGAGGCTGAGGCCGAGGCAGGCTGAGGCTGAGGCCGAGGCAAGCCGAGGCAGGCTGAGGCTGAGGCTGAGGCTGATGCTGAGGCAGGCTGAGGCTGAGACAGGCTGAGGCTGAGGCTGAGGCAGGCTGAGGCTGAGGCAGGCTGAGGCTGAGGCCGAGGCAGGCTCAGGCCGAGACAGGCTGAGGCTGAGACTGAGGCTGAGGCTGAGGATGAGGCCGAGGCAGGCCGAAGGTGAGACAAGGTGAGGCTGAATGGGGCTGGGGGGAAGGGGGGGGAGGAGGGGAGGCTGAGGCAGGCTGAGGCCGAGGCAGGCTGAGGCCGAGGCAGGCTGAGGCTGCGGCAAGCCGAGGCAGGCTGAGGCTGAGGCTGAGGCTGAGGCTGAGGCTGAGGCAGGCTGAGGCTGAGGCAGGCTGAGGCTGAGGCTGACGCAGGCTGAGGCCGAGGCAGGCTGAGGCCGAGGCAGGCTGAGGCTGAGGCTGAGGCAAGCCGAGGCAGGCTGAGGCTGAGGCTGAAACTGTGGCAGGCTGAGGCATCCGTAGGAATCCATAGGAATCCTTAGGAATCTCTAGGAATCCTTAGGATTCCATTGGATCCTAAGGCCGTTGCCACTGCGACTGTCATTGCGAATGCGACTGCGACTGCGAGAACAGCAGAATTCTACAACTGGATTCTCACCTGAATCTTAAGGGGAATTCTTCCAGATATGCTTATACACATCGCTGTTAGGTTGCTTTGCCGGGATAATCTTCACAGCGCGAGGGGGTCTGGGCTCTCAGGCAGAGCCGGATCCATCTCCCCGAGGGCTTCGGGGCCCGAAGGCTGGGCGGGAGCGGCCGAGGTGCAGACCTCTTGCGACGCCCGGGCCCTGCGGGCTCTGCTGCCCACGCCCCCGAGGGGCCCGGCGGCACCGGCGGCCTGGTGCGGTCCCTCCGCCTGGAGGGCCTCGGCAACCTCCTCGAGCCGGGGCTGGCGCTCAGCGGCGCCGGGCAGGCGGCTTCGGGGGGCGGTGGGCCTTTCTGCACCCCACGCCGACGCTGGGCCAGGGCAGTGCTGAGCTGCAACGTCAGGGGGGGATACGTCGGGGCTGCGCCGACCCCCAAAGTGCCCGCCGATCGCAGGTAGGGGTCCGACAGCCCACCTCGCCCAGGACCATACGGATTTGCGATCGGGGGCCTATCGCCGATATATGTGTACATATGTATGTATATATATATATGTATTCGACAAATGTGTTTATATACACACATATCGGTATATTTGTATAAATACATACATATGGGCCCCAGCACCCAATTCTTAGCAGCATTCACTTACGACGGTGGTGTTCTTCCTATCCTTTCTTTTCCTCCTCCTCATCATCATCATCGTCTCTCTCTCTCTCTCTTTCTCTCTCTCTCTCTTTTACGCTCTCTCTCTCTCTTTTTCTATCTTTCCCCCCCCCCTCTCTCTCGCTGGTCGGCTTCCCAAGGCGTGTGCTCCGATCCCCACGTATGAAAACGTGTCAGGGGTGCAGAAACCTTGTGTCTTCATGTGGATGCTTGGGGTTTCTGGGATGAGAAGTGAGACAACCATGTGTTTCCATTTTTTTCCAACCATCCTGTGGTGTTCGGTCCTCGTTTTGAAGAGACGGTCTCCGCGTCCCTCCTCCTCCTCCTCCTCCTCCTCCTCCTCCTCCTCCTCGTTCTCCTCCTCCTCTCCTCCTCCTCACCCTCCCTCCTCCCCCTCCTCCCTACTCCCTGCGTTTCGCCCACCTAGTACAGCGTTTCGTGGCCCCGTAAGAGGGCTCCACCGAAGGTCCCAGTGGCACCGCCCGCATGCGTCAGCCACCACCCAGCACAGCCCTTGCTCCCTTCGTTTCAGCCACCTAGTACAGCGCTTCGTGGCTCCATAGGGGGCTCCACCGAAGGTCCCAGTGGCACCGCCCGCATGCGTCAGCCACTACCCAGCACAGCCCTTGCCCCGTGCGTTTCACCCACCCAGTACAACGTTTCGTGGCCCCAGAGGGAGCTCCACCGAAGGTCCCAGTGGCACCGCCCGCATGCGTCAGCCACCACCCAGCACAGCCCTTGCTCCCTTCGTTGCACCCACCCAGTACAGCGTTTTGTGGCCCCATAGGGAGCTCCACCGAAGGTCCCAGTGGGACCGCCCGCATGCGTCAGCCACCACCCAGCACAGCCCTTGTTCCCTGCGTTTCACCCACCCAGTACAGCGTTGTGTGGCCCCATAGGGAGCTTCACCGAAGGTCCCAGTGGGACCGCCCGCATGCGTCAGCCACCACCCAGCACAGCCTGTGCTCCTTCCGTTTCGCCCACCCTTCACCCACCCAGTACAGCGTTTCGTTGCCCCATAGGGAGCTCCACCGAAGGTCCCAGTGGCACCGCCCGCATGCGTCAGCCACCACCCAGCACAGCCCTTGCTCCCTTCGTTTCGCCCACCCAGTACAGCGTTTCGTGTCTCCGCAGGGAGATCCACCGAAGGTCCCAGTGGGACCGCCCGCATGCGTCAGCCGCGACCCAGCACAGCCCTTGCTTCCTTCGTTTCACCCACTTACTATAGCGTTTCGTGGCTCCATAGGGAGCTCCACTGAAGGTCCCAGTGGCACCGCCCGCATGCGTCAGCCACCACCCAGCACAGCCCTTGCTCCCTGCGTTTCGCCCACCCAATACAGCGTTTCGTGGCTCCATAGGGAGCTCCACCGAAGGTCCCAGTGGGACCGCCCGCATGCGTCAGCCGCCACCCAGCACAGCCCCTGCTCCCTTCGTTGCACCCACCCAGTACGGCGTTTTGTGGCCCCATAGGGAGCTCCACCGAAGGTCCCAGTGGGACCGCCCGCATGCGTCAATCACCACCCAGCACAGCCTTTCCGTCCTGCGTTTCGCCCACCCAGTACAGCGTTGTGTGGCCCCATAGGGAGCTCCACCGAAGGTCCCAGTGGCACTCGTGGCCCATAGGGAGCCCCACCGAATGCCCCAGTGGCACCGCCCGCACGCGTTTCCCCCACCCATTACGGCACGTCCCTCACGCGTTTCGTGGCCTTATAGGAAGCTCCACCGCAAGCGGCACGCAGAACGCGTTATTCACAACTGCGTATGGTTGGGTTCTTCGCCAGGATATTCTTTTTTTTTTCGGGGGTGGTTTGGGGTTGCCATCGCTCTAACGAAAATCCCGCCCAGGAGCCCTTCCAGGAACTCCGATCTTCAGAGCTCAAACATCTAAATGAAAACGCAAGGTTTGCGATGTCAAGGGGTGCGGAAACCTTGTGTGTTTCATTTGGATGTGTGGGACTTCTGGGGTGGTAGCCATGTGTTTTCATTCCGATATTTGTGATTTCTGGCGTGTCTAGGGCTCTGAACATTCGGGGGCTCCTGGGCGGGATGTTCGCTGGGAGAAGAGAGCCCCCCCAAATTCCAAAAGTCGATGTGAAGAACCTGGAGCTTTCCTTGTCTGAGGAGGGCGACAGTGATGTCCATGGCCAAGCCTCAATTTGTACTCAACCAGCTTTCAGACTCTGGGCGCCTTATCCACGGGTTCTGTGTCCAATGCCCTCACCGGAGGGGAGCCACAGATGATACAGACATAACAATCCGGAGGTCCGCGCCGATTCCTCGGATCGGCGCTTTGGTCCCCTGGCGGCGCTTCTGGCGCGGACCCTGACGCGTTCCGCGCGCCAGGGAAGGGGGTCCAGCGTCGATCCGAGAAATCTGCGCAGACCTCTGAGTTCTTATGTTGACGTCATTGTCTGTTCCCCGATGTAGGGGGGAGGCGTCAACACTTCTCGGTTTGGGTTTTGTGGGGTGGGCTACGCGCCTCTTCGGCCAGGCAGCGCCAGGCCTGCATTCCTGTGGAGACTTCAGAGAAGAGGAGGACACCTCGAGGTGCATCATGACTGTCATGCGATTTCGATCTCCTTGCCGCCTCCTCCTCCTCCTCCTCCTCCTCCTCCTCGTCCTCCTCCTGCTCCCAAGTGAACGCTGAAAAGCTTCCCTGGCAAAACCAGGAGGGCGTGTATACCGATCATAGGACCAGGATCGGCCTGGCAAGGACAAGTGTGGATGTATACGTGGTGTCCTCTCTCTCCCTTTCCTCTCGTTGGGTGCTGGCCGCCAGGCACCTCCCTGGGCGCGCTCTGGCGAGAATTTCGCGGGGATTTCAGCCGCGGCGATGGGGAGACTCCCGAAGACCCAGGAGTGGTGGGCAATGTCCGAAACATCGTTTCTGGGGCGCGCTCTAGCCAGCATTTCGAGGCGATGCCAGCCGTGGCGACGAGACGCTTCCCCGAGTTCCACAAATTAGGATTAAGCACGCATGGGCACTTAGATTCTTGCCCTTCGGATCTCGAGGAGGACTGGCTCCGAAATCCGCTCACAAGTGGTTCTCGGACTCTTGGAGGGGCCACCCTGTCCAGGTTTTCATCAGATCTCAGACGGCCCCAGTGTCACAGCGCCATCATACAGCACATACTTAGCGAGTTTCATGCTCAAGCTGATCGGTGGCCACCGGGATTTGGAAGGGTCGTGCCCACTCTTGCGAGAACTGGGCTCGAAACGCATGGCAGCTTGAATTGTCGATATCATTCGCCTCCTGTCCTCCGGTATTCCCCTCTCTTCTCGGCGTCCCGGTGTCGTTGATCCTGCAGAGCCTCTGGCCGCTCGGACCCACGGGCCCTTGGTTGTGTCTTATCCCTCCGTGGGCATGCGACTCTTTCGACTGTTTTCGCTTGGCTGCTCCTGACGTGGCGCCGACGACGCCGGACTGTGGAGCTCGGGGGTGTCTTAGTAATTGCTCTGGATGTCTGTCGTCTGGGGGGGAATTGCAAGAAACGGCGGTCTCAGGGCTTGAGACGATCCCACCGAGGGGCCGAGATTGAGGACCTCCACCCCTCGAGGATGATGATGATGATGATGATGATGATGATGATGATGATGATGATGATGATGATGATGATGATGATGATGATGATGATGATGATGATGATGATGATGAGGATGAGGATGAGGAGGAGGAGGAGGAGGAGGAGGAGGA